AGTACAGGCGCGATGAGAATCAGCTATACATATTTGCGGATGACTGCGTCCCGAGGTGGCTGACAGCATCGCACCATGTGGATTTTGATACCATGGCAGGTGCTGATAAGTTTGGGAATGTGTATTTTGTGCGGTTGCCTCAGGATGTGTCGGAGGAGATAGAAGAAGACCCGACAGGCGGGAAGATCAAGTGGGAGCAAGGAAAGCTGAATGGAGCACCGAACAAAGTGGATGAGATAGTACAGTTCCACGTTGGGGACGTTGTGACGTGCATGCAGAAAGCTTCGATGATCCCAGGTGGATCGGAATCCTTAATGTATGGAACAGTGATGGGTAGCATAGGGGCATTACATGCTTTCACATCCCGTGATGATGTCGATTTCTTCTCTCATCTGGAGATGCACATGAGGCAGGAGTACCCTCCTCTCTGCGGGAGAGACCACATGGCTTACAGATCTGCATATTTTCCCGTCAAGGTATAAACCAAAACAAAATGAAAATGCATTGCCCTTTCTCACATATTAAAGTCTTCATTTTGAATTTGACACTTTTTGCATCTTCTCTGTTAAACAGGATGTGATAGATGGAGATCTGTGTGAGCAGTTCCCGACGCTTCCAATGGACTTGCAGAGGAAAATAGCAGACGAGTTGGATAGAACACCGGCGGAGATTCTGAAGAAGCTAGAAGACGCTAGGAATAAGATCATTTAAAAAACACAAAAGAGAGTCATTGTTTTGGTTGAAGAGGACAAAGTAGAGTAGAGAAACAGAGGTGGTAATAGTTTTTTGTAAAGCTCTATCTTCAATGGTTTGTAAAACAAAACCTCTTGTGAGAACTCATGAGTGTAAAACCTCATTTTGGTTTTGATGTATGTTTCTTATTTTTAGGTAAACAATGCATTCTAATTTTTACTTTCGTTGTTTTACTTTTATTCATGATTATTGTTAATTTGTCATCTCAGACTTGCTACAATATAATTAAAAAAAAAAAACAAAAAGAAATCCGAAATGCTATTTGCTGCACTTTGATCCTTGTAGTTGGGAAAAACTCACTAAAATTGAATGTTATTACCATTGCTGTGGTTATATATATATATATATTAAAATGTTCCATGGCGAAAATAAAATATATATCAAAATGTTCTATTTTCTTCAAACTATGTTGTAGAGAAAACTTTAACTTTTAACTTTGTTTATTTTGTCTTAAAACAAATTTGGGATCTTCTCTTGATATCTCTTATGTTTATCTTTTGCCCATGTTGGTCTTGTATCCTGACTCATAACAATGGGATCCGCAAAATCAAATTATACCAATATTTCCTCACCATCACAGAATTAAAATCAAACATTGGATACAGTTTTCCCACGTGGCGGAATTACACATATACTTATCTTGTAGTAAACAATAGATGATTAGTTTAGTATAGCTAATCTATCTAGTTACTAATAAGCTCCATTATCATCCACATTATCTAAAACATAAGAAAATACAAATTTTCTCACATGGCGGAAGTACACATATATTTATCTTGTAATAACCATTAGATGACTAGTTTATTAAAGCTAATCTATCTAGTTAGTGATAAGCTCAATTATCCTCGATATTATCTAAAACATAAAAGAATACAAATTTTCAACTTCAAGTTACACTAGGGATGGCTTCATATAATAGTTTTCCAGATGAACTTCTTGCCCATATCTTGTCCTTCCTTCCAACAAAACAAGCTCCTTCAACCTCAGTCATCGCCAAGAAGTGGAGGACTTTGTTTGCTTTCCGGCATAATCTTGATTTTGAAGGCTCTGACATTTTGAACCCTGTAGTGGATGAAGAGGATAATTATCGTGTGTGACTCATGTCTTTTCTTGATAGAACGTTGGCTATGCAAGGCGGTGACTCTATCAATAAATTCTCAGTTGAATGTGTATTTGAACTTGACAAAGATCATGTTGATGGCTGGATAAATAATGCCCTGGAACACGGCGTCTCTGAGCTGCATCTATGTTTAACATATGAGATGCATCTTTATTTGTCATCGAATTTGTTCATCAGCAAAACATTGGTGAAGCTTACATTGGGAGAAGAACTTAACATCCAATATCTTCCTTCTGAATGAATTTGAAGGAAGAAATTTGATGCTAAGTTATTCTCCCAATGTTAGCTTCACCAATGTTTTGCTGATGAACAATGAAAGCGCATCTTATTAGTTAAGCGTAGATTCAGCTCAGATGCACCGCGTTCCAAGGCATTATTTATTCAGTCGTCATCATGACCTTGTCAGGTTCAAATACACATTCAAGTGGGAGAATTCATTGATAGGGACACCACCTTTGCAAAGCCAAATGCTCTATCAAAAAAAGACATGAACCACGCATTATCCTCTTCAACCACTACAAGATCCAAAATGTCGGAGTTGTCAAACTCAAGTGAATGCTAGAAATCATACGAAGTCCTATACCTCTTGGCGATGACAGAGGTTGAAGCAGCTTGTTTTGTTGTAAGGAAGGACAAGCAATGGGCAATAAGTTCATCTGGAAGACTATTTAACGAAGCTATCCGTAGTGGTACCTGTAACATGAATTTGAGACCAATCACTAATTTACTTATTCGAGCAACCAACAATATACTAGAAGTATGTAAATTAAGGATATTTCACTTTAAAGAGAATGGAACATTCCCATAAAACTTAGAATTAGCACAAACTGTAAGATGGCGAGATGCTACCCACTGAAAATTAGATACATACTCCATATTGAAAAAATTTACAATAGAGAGACATTTACGACACAGAAAACGAAGCTACAGGTCAAAGCTTTCAGGTTCAATTTAAACACTAAATCTCTACAGATTCAAGCTTTCTTTCCAAACGACATGAAAATCATTTACTCCAATTGAAAATAAACAGAAAAGATAGGAAAAGACTTACACCACCAGCAACTTTTTCTCAACTTCTCAGTTTTGAGATTTTTTTTTTTTACTTTTCTTATGTGGTCTTGAATGGTCTTTATGTTATTTATAATGGGAGGAGAATGGAGCTTATCACTAACTAGATAGATTAGCTTTATTAAATCAATCATCTATTGGTTAGTACAAGATAAAAATCTGTGTAATTCCACCACGTGGAAAATTTTGTATTTTCTTATGTTTTAGATAATAGGGAGGATAATGGAGCTTATATTGATTAGTTTTACTAAACTTATCATCTATTGGTTATTACAAGATAAATATCTGTATAATTCCGCCACATGTGAAAATTTGTATTATTTTATGTTTTAGATAATATCGAAGATAATTGAGCTTATCACTAACTAGATAGATTAGCTTTACTAAATCATCTATTGGTTAGTACAAGATAAAAATTTGTATAATTCCACCACGTGGAAAATTTTGTATTTTCTTATGTTTTAGATAATAGGGAGGATAATGGAACTTATATTGATTAGTTTTACTAAACTTATCATCTATTGGTTATTACAAGATAATTCCGCCACGTGTGAAAATTTGTATTCTTTTATGTTTTAGATAATATCGAGGATAATTGAGCTTATCACTAACTAGATAGATTAGCTTTAATAAACTAGTCATCTAATGGTTATTACAAGATAAATATATGTGTACTTCCGCCATGTGAGAAAATTTGTATTTTCTTATGTTTTAGATAATGTGGATGATAATGGAGCTTATCAGTAACTAGATAGATTAGCTATACTAAACTAATCATCTATTGTTTACTACAAGATAAGTATATGTGTAATTCCGCCACGTGGGAAAACTGTATCCAATGTTTGATTTTAATTCTGTGATGGTGAGGAAATATTGGTATAATTTGATTTTGCGGATCCCATTGTTATGAGTCAGGATACAAGACCAACATGGGCAAAAGATAAACATAAGAGATATCAAGAGAAGATCCCAAATTTGTTTTAAGACAAAATAAACAAAGTTAAAAGTTAAAGTTTTCTCTACAACATAGTTTGAAGAAAATAGAACATTTTGATATATATTTTATTTTCGCCATGGAACATTTTAATATATATATATATATATACACAACAATGATAATAACATTCAATTTTAGTGAGTTTTTCCCAACTACAAGGATCAAAGTGCAGCAAATAGCATTTCGGATTTCTTTTTGTTTTTTTTTTTTAATTATATTGTAGCAAGTCTGAGATGACAAATTAACAATAATCATGAATAAAAGTAAAACAACGAAAGTAAAAATTAGAATGCATTGTTTACCTAAAAATAAGAAACATACATCAAAACCAAAATGAGGTTTTACACTCATGAGTTCTCACAAGAGGTTTTGTTTTACAAACCATTGAAGATAGAGCTTTACAAAAAACTATTACCACCTCTGTTTCTCTACTCTACTTTGTCCTCTTCAACCAAAACAATGACTCTCTTTTGTGTTTTTTAAATGATCTTATTCCTAGCGTCTTCTAGCTTCTTCAGAATCTCCGCCGGTGTTCTATCCAACTCGTCTGCTATTTTCCTCTGCAAGTCCATTGGAAGCGTCGGGAACTGCTCACACAGATCTCCATCTATCACATCCTGTTTAACAGAGAAGATGCAAAAAGTGTCAAATTCAAAATGAAGACTTTAATATGTGAGAAAGGGCAATGCATTTTCATTTTGTTTTGGTTTATACCTTGACGGGAAAATATGCAGATCTGTAAGCCATGTGGTCTCTCCCGCAGAGAGGAGGGTACTCCTGCCTCATGTGCATCTCCAGATGAGAGAAGAAATCGACATCATCACGGGATGTGAAAGCATGTAATGCCCCTATGCTACCCATCACTGTTCCATACATTAAGGATTCCGATCCACCTGGGATCATCGAAGCTTTCTGCATGCACGTCACAACGTCCCCAACGTGGAACTGTACTATCTCATCCACTTTGTTCGGTGCTCCATTCAGCTTTCCTTGCTCCCACTTGATCTTCCCGCCTGTCGGGTCTTCTTCTATCTCCTCCGACACATCCTGAGGCAACCGCACAAAATACACATTCCCAAACTTATCAGCACCTGCCATGGTATCAAAATCCACATGGTGCGATGCTGTCAGCCACCTCGGGACGCAGTCATCCGCAAATATGTATAGCTGATTCTCATCGCGCCTGTACTTGCAGTAATGGAACGACTGCAAAAAAAAAAGTTATAACGAACCATGAGATACTTACCAATAAGAAGCGCAGAATAATAAGTAAAATGTGAAAATAGGATCTAGCAC